CCTGGCCCCAGGGGAGCGGGGAGGCGCAGGTGCGGCGGGGGCAGGGGCGCGCGGCGGGGGCGAGGGCTGGCGCGCAAGCCCCTCTCCAGCGCCGCTCCCCGCGACCCAAGGACCGGGCGGCGGCGGCGGCATGGGCGGGCGGCCCTCCTGCGCCCTGAGCGAGCGGCAGCAGCAGAGGCTGAGCGGTGAGCGCGGCCGGCGGCTGGAGCGCGGCGGGTCGCCACGCCGCAGGGACCCGCTTCTATGAGCTCGTCCCCGCGTTCGCACCGGGCGCACCTGTCATCCACACTCTGGGAGCCGAGGCGGGAGGATCGCTCGAGGTCAGGAGTTCGAGACCAGCCTGAGCCAGAGCGAGACCTGTCTCTACTATAAATAGAGAAGAATTAATTGGCCAACTAATATATATAGAAAAAATGAGCCGGGCGTGGTGGCGCATTGCCTGTAGTCCAGCTACCTCGGGAGGCTGAGGCAGGAGGATCGCTTGAGCCGCAGGAGTCTGAGGGTGCTGTGAGCGAGGGCGATGCCATGCACTCACTCTAGCCTGGGCAACAAAGCAAGACCCTGTCTCAAAAACAAAAAAGAGAAAAAGGGTCCTTATTTAATTGCAGTTCAGGTGTGAGCGGTGTGTTTGTTATTTGATGAATCTAACCGTATTCGGGGCAGGGTTCAGAGCTGGGGAGCATGTGGGCCAGGTGGGGGTGTCCCAGGCCCAGCCAGGCCCCACAACGGTCCTCATGGGCAGGGAGAGACCAGCAGGCCCCTTGGCATGGACCCTGGGGACCAAGGTCCAGTTCCCAATTTGAGATGAGAGAGGCCAGATTCAGTGCCACTTGAGTCCCTCTGTCCTCCTCACAGGCAGGTTGAGCACGGTACTGTGTGCTGGGTGCCGGGAATGCCGTGGGGTTGGTGCCAGCCCCGCCCTGGCAGGCTCACAACCTAGACCGGGAAAGCAGATGAAGTCATTGTCATCCAAACAGCAGTTGGATTGGGAGTGACGGGGAGAGCAGGGTGGGGTGTGAGATCCGGAACTCCTTCCACCTTGTGGCTCAGCCACCTTGTGCCTTCTGTGCCCAAGCTCACCTCGTGGCACAGAATGGCTGCTGGATTTCCAGCCATCCGGTCTGCATTCCAAGCAGCAGGAAGGAGGAGTGTTTTATACACAGCCAAGTGGGCACATCTTAGGGGAACAGCTTGAAGAACACTCCGTCACCCGGGAAAGTTCCTTTGTGCTGGAGGGGTGAGGGGGGGACGCTTTGTAAAAGATTTTGAAGATCTCCCCAGGTAAAGGTCACGAGGGACCTCCCAGGGCGGTGGGACGGTTTGCTACCTGGATGGCGGTGGCGGCTGGGTGGCCGTGTCATCGCATCCAAGCTGGGGGACCGCCCGCCTTGCGCGCCCCGAGGCGTCAGCCCCGCGCAGAGCCCGGGTCGCCCAGCTGCCCCTCCGCGCGCGGGAGCGGGCGCGGCGCGAAGGGCTAAGGGCGAATGAGGTCGGGGCGTGGGGACAGGAGCCCGCGGTGGCTTCCGCGTGCGCCCGGGAAGACGGGACGCCCAACCCCGCCGTTCATCTTTCATGGGGCGCCCGCTGCGCCCTTGTCCGCAGGCCGGGTGGACGCCCTGCTGGGGGACTTCCTGCCCCGCTACCACGCGCAGCTGGCGGCCTCCGTGCTGCGGCAGGTGGCCGGAGAGCTCGGCGCCCCGGAGCGCGCTGCGGGCCAGCTGCTCCGCAGCAAGGTGGGTGCCTGGGGGGCGGGGCTGAGCGTGCGAGCGGGGCGGGGGGGGGTCAGGGGTGGCGGCGGTTGGAGGGGAGCCCGCCCCCCGCCGGCTCTGACCACGGCCCCCGGGTTGGGGCCACTTCAAATATTAATTCTCAGCCGGGCGCGGTGGCTTGCGCTTGTCACCTCGGCATTCTGGGAGGCAGAGGCGGGAGGATCGCTCGAGGTCAGGAGTTGGAGACCAGCCTGAGGAAGAGCGAGACCCCGTCTCTACTATAAATAGAAAAAAATTAACTAGCCAACTAATATATAGAGAAAAAAGTCAGCCGGGCATGGTGGCGCACGCCTGTAGTCCCAGCTACTCGGGAGGCTGAGGCAGGAGGATCGCCTGAGCCCAGGAGTCTGAGGGTTGCTGTTGCAGCGGGGCTGACCCAGGCACTCACTCTAGCTGGGCAACAGAGTGAGACTCTGTCTCAAAAAAAAAAAGAAAGAAAGAATCGGCACCAAGGGCGTGGCCCTGGGGCTGGGGAGCTGCAAACAAGGGGTCTGCGCGCCCGGGGGCCCACCTCCGCCCGTGCGGGACGTGACCCGCGGCCGGCACCTCCGGCTTGCGAAGTGCCGAGTCGCGAGCCCGAGGGGCCTGAGCCAGCTGCGCGGCCGCCCGCCCCGGTGGCAGCCGGTCTTCTGCGTCCTGCGCGGCGACGGGCGCCTGGAGTGGTTCGGTCGCAGGAGGGTGGGGGGGGGCCCAGACGCTCGGACGTACGCCGCCCCCACGCCCGCCCTGCCCCGCCCCCGCCCGCCCGCACCCCTCCGTGGTTGGGGTCCGCTCGCAGCCCAGGGCCCTGCGCCTCGCACTCGCGGGGCGAATCCAGAGCCCTTGTGTGCGTGGCGGCGCGGGTTGTCCTGTTGCTGGGCAGGGCTGGAGGAGCCAGGGGCGGGTCCTCAGGCAACCCGGACGCTCGCCACATCCTGGAGAGTGGGGGCTGGCGCTGTGGCCCGGGGAGGGAGGGAGAAGGAAGGAGGGGGAGACGAGGGGTGATGGCGGAAGAGCAGGAGGAGGCCACGCTAGTCATCCCGCATCTGGGGAGGGCCAGGCGGGAGGATCGCTCCAGGTAGGATTCGAACAGCCTGGCAAGATGCGAGACCCGCGTCTCTACTATTAAATAGACAGGAAATTAATTGGCTAACTAAAAATATAATACTATACAAATATTAGCCGGGCGGTGGTGGCGCGTGCCTGTAGCCACAGTATGGGGAGCTGAGGCGGGAGGGATCGCTTGAGCCCCAGGGTTGGGTTGCTCGTGAGCGAGGTTGCGCCAGGCACTCACTTGCCCGGGCAAAGAGCAAGACCTCTGTCTCAAAAAAAAAAATTCAAGAAAGACACAAGAAGGGCGGGGGGGAAGGAGGGCCTGTGAATCCAGATTCCTCCCTGGACACCCAGGGCGGCACAGGAAGCGCCGCGATGTGTTCGGGTCGGGTGTTTCGGTGTCTTCCGCAGGTTCGAGCGGGGGGCTCGTCGCTGGGCTCCGCGTCTGACGGGTACAGGCATGCACTTCCCGCAAGACTACTCCAGCCTCCTGGACGCCTCGGCCCCGGCCTGCCGGTGAGAGCCGCGTCCACTGAGGCAGGTTTCGCCCAGGTGGCATTCGGGACCGGCCACCGGGTGCAAGTAGCGCCCCCCCCAGGGGGACAGCCACACACGTGCTGGGCAGCACCCCTGGCGCCGGAGAGAAGAAGCCGCTGTCACCCGGCGAGAGGGAACGGTTGGGCGAGGAGGCAGAAGCAAAATGGCAGAGCTGAAAAAATCATAACCCGTGTCAAATGCACTGCGGGGGATGGCACCGACAGGGCGGGCTGACACAGACCTTGGCCTCGGTTGCAGGGGTCCCTGCAGAGCTTGTCCTGTCTCCTCCCCCTCCTCCCCTCCCCCACCTCCCTTTCTCTCCCTGCTCTCTTCTCACCATAATGCATAATGTGGAGCAAAAAACTTCCGCCGGGCGGAGCCTGGCAAGTGCGTAGGGCCGGGGCCTGCACCATCTCAGCCTGCCAGCCGTGCTGATGGCCTGTCACTATTCTCCGTGTCGGGGCACGGACATGTACCCGTGAGACATAGGGCTTTGGCCCACGAACTGGCCGTTCTCTATCACATGGACTTCGTCGTGCCCCATGCATTGGTTGCAGAAAGCAGATTGGTTTGGTTTTTTTTTTTGAGACGAGTCTGGCTCTGTTGTGTTGCGGGACTAGGGTGAGTGCCGCTGGGGCGTCAGCCCTCGCTCACAGCACCTCAGACTCTGGGCTCAAGCGTCCTCTGCCCTCAGTCCTCCGAGCGCTGGGACTACAGGCATGGCGCCACCCGATGCCCGGCTTCTTTTTTATATATATTTTTTAGTTCGCATTAATTTTCTTCCTGCTTTTAGTAGCGACGGGGTTCGCTCTTGCTCAGGCTGGTCTCGAACTCTGACCTCGGCGATCCTCCCGCCTCAGGCCTCCAGAGTGAGGTGGGTGACAGGCGTGGCCGTTCGCGCCGGTCCTGAGCCTTCTTTATTAGGCAGGAACACAGGGCGCCGGGGGCTGAAACGCGCCCAGTCGATAGAACTAGGAAAGCAGTTGGGTCACGTTGGAACCGGCCGGGCATGGCCGAGTCTCAGAGCCCAGCAACCTGACACGCCGTTCCGGCCCGTGGTCCGCCGTGGTGGCTGCTCAGAAGCGCTGTGCTGGGCAGGCCGCTGAGGGCTGGGACACGGTGCCGGATGGATTGGGTGATGTCTGCCCGGGGCAACACAGGGAGGGAGTAGCCCTGCCCCCCCGCCTAGACCGCGCAGGCCTGTTGCGAGGCGGCGCTGGGGCACGTTTCTCGGGCATCCTCTTTACAGGAGCGGATGACGTGCGCGCCTCCTCCGTCTGCTTTCGAGGAGCCGCGCTGGGAAGATCGCGACGCCCTCCTGGACGTGCCCGTGCGCTGGCCCCTGTTCTGGAGCACCCTTCCGGAGACCCTCTGCTCTCGCCACCAGCGGAGGCACAGTTACGTGCTGGAGGCTGGGCCCTGCAGGGCGCATGCCGAAACTTCGGAGCACAGGTGGGAGGTGCGGGAGGTGTTAGGCGGTGTGGAGCGTCCGGAGCGCTCAGTTTCTATCCACAAAAATGGGGCTGTTGGGCAGGCAGTGCAGTTATGATGTGACCAGGGCTGTACAGGGGCCCTTGCAGGAGTTCATGGGGGGCGGTTGGGGGGTCCGAATGGGTTCCCAGAGGAGGGCTTAGGTTCTGAAAAGGTGAGGGGCCGCCAGGGTGAGAGAAGGGGAACGGGACTGGACCATACAGTTGGGGCAGGTTGTTGGTGACGAATTACCCAACAGGAGGGGCGGCTCGGGGTGCCAGTAGGGCGAGCGGTGGTCCGGGCTGTGGTCGCAGCCAGAGGGTTCCTGGTCCTACAGTCCTTAAGTCACACACAGGTGGCTCATGGGCCCGCCGGTGCTCCCGGGGGCAGCGCGCGCCCAGCGGCATGCGCCCGCTTTTGCGCAGCTCCGGGTTGCGTGGGCGGGATCGGGTGTCGGGCCTGGGGGAGGCGTGGCTTCTCGCTGCGCCGGCGGCGGGGCTGGGGGCCTGGAGCCGCGCCCTCGTCCTGTCAGCGAAGCCATGGCCCCGCCGCCCGGGGCTTTCCTTGACACCGTCCGCCCTCACGGCAGCAGCAAGGGCACCTTCGGCGGACGACAGACGTGACCTGGACGGACGCCGAGCACGGTGAGTGCGCGCCAGGCGTGCCCGGGCGGGACCCCGGCGGGCGGCGCGGGAGCCAATGCCAGGGTCCCGCAGGTCTGGCCGCGGTGCTGATGCGGGAGCTGCTGCCGGCGCTGCGGGCCCGGACCCCGCCGCCTGCCGGGCGCCGGCGCGCGCGCGCCCTGGCCTGGACCGAGGTACCGGCGGTGCGGCGGGGCTCGGGCGGACGGGCCGCGCGCCGGTCGCTAACCACCTCGCGGTCTTGCCGCGTCTCCTCCTGTCCGCGCCCGCGCTCCTGCCCCGCGCACCGCGTAGTCCGCGCAGCTAGCTGGACGCCGTCAGCGGGTCGTGCTGGCCAGAGGTCTCCGGCGCGGGCTGCGCGGCCTTCCAGCCCGAGAGGACGAGCTGCTCGCGGCGCTGGAGAGGACGGATCCGCGCGGAGCTCGACCACACGCTCAGCTGCGACGCTCGCGCGCGGCGCGGCTGCGGGTGAGCAGGGGCGGCGCTGGAGCCGGGCGGGCTTGGAGCCGGGCGGGCCATGGAGCCGGGCGCGCTGGAACCTGGCGCGGCGGCGTGCCCGGGCGGAAAGTGGGCGTGTTAAATGGCCGTGAGCTGTAGAAGGGGCGTGTCTAAATGGGACGTGCAATGAGACGGTGCGGTCTAAAGTGGACGTGGCGGTGTCGTAATTGGAACGCTGGCATTGTCTAAAATGGACTGGCGTGTGTCTAAATGGAGCGTGGGCGTGTCTAAATGGACGTGGGGTGTCTAAACGGAGCGGTGAGGCGTTCTAACGGAACGTGGGGTGTCTGATGGAGGCGGTGGGCGTGTCTAAACGGACGGGCGTGTGTCTAAATGGAACGCTGGCATGGTCTAAATGGCCACGTGGGGTGCTAAACTGGAGCTGGGCGGTGTTTAAATTGAACGTGGCGTGTCTGAATGGGAGCGTGGGCGTGTCTAAATTGAACGGGGCGTGTCTGAAGGAGCACGGTGGGCGTCGTGTCTAGAATGGCCGTTCGGGCGTGTTAAATGGCACGTGGGCGTGTTCTTAGGGAGGGACAAGCTGGACAGGGACAGCCAGGCCAAGGGTTTTAGGGAATGGAGGAGAACCGGGGAGAGTGGGGATGGGACTGGATAGGTCCCAAGGACCTTGGGGGCTGCTGCTGGGAAAGACGGGTGCCTGAGGCGTGGCTGGGGGCGGTCTAAATGGGATGGGCGGCCTGAGGCAGAGGTGCGGGGCGAGGCCAGGTGGGCCAGAAGCCCGGGAAGAAGGCTGGCGGGGAGGGCGGGGGTGACGCTGGGCCAGGAGAGGGGTGGGGGAAAGGCAGACACACTGGCAGCGGCGTGCCAAGGTGGCCTCATCTCGGCTCAGCGACAGAGACGCGGGTTCGAATCCCGGCTCTGCCTCCCTCCCCTGCCTGCGCCCTGGGGCAGATTGGAGCCTCTCAGAGCCTCAGTTTGCTCCCCAAATAAAACGGGATAGAACAGGGTGCTCAGAGCCGGGGCTTCCCGCCCACCTCGCCCTGCCGAGCTCGGGGTCCCCGGGACAGAAAGAGAAGCACGCGCCCCGTCCCCACCGGCAAGCCCCCAGGCCCGTGCCTCCCGTCGCCAGCGGGTGTCCAGGGCCTGCTCGAGTCGTGCCTGCGCCGGGAGGTGGACGCGCAGCTGCCCCGAGTCACGCGGACGCTGCTGCGCACGGTGGAGGCCGCGACCGCGGCGGTGCGGGCCCTCCTGGCCCGGGGCGTGGAGCGCCTGTGTGGCCGCCTGCGCCAGGACCCGTCGGGCGCGCGGCTGCGGCGGGAGGTGAGCTGCGGCGGGCGGGCGGGGCGCCTCGCGGGGACCTCGCCACCCCCGTGTGTGAAAGCCCTCCCTGCGTTTGTTCCCGGCTGCTTTTTACGTGTCGTGGACCATGGCTAGCTCCCCATCGTGGCCACACCGCGAGCCTTAGGGCGCCGTTAAAACGTGGTGGAGCGGGGAAGGGAGTCAGATGACAAGAGTGGCCCTTCGGCGCGGGCTGGGGTCATCTTTCCCCCAAGGTCCTTTCCTGCCCTTCCCTGCTGGGCCACAGCTCGTCCTGTCCCTTGAGCCAGAGCACCCTGCACAGCGCAGGTGGCTGCACTTGCTACGTGTCAGGCAACCTTCCACTCGTTTTTATTTTAAGACAGAGTCTCACTCTGTCGCTGGGCTGGAGTGCCGCGGCGTCAGCCTCGCTCACAGCAACCTCAGACTCCTGGGCTCGAGCGATCCTCCCACCCCAGCCTCCCCAGTAGCTGGGACTACAGGCATGCACCACCACGCCCGGCTAATTTTATCTATATATTTATAGTTGGCCAATGAATTTCTGTCTATTTCTATAGTAGAGACGGGGTCTCGCTCTTGCTCAGGCTGGTCTTGAACCCCTGACCTTGAGCGATCCGCCCGCCTCGGCCTCCCAGGGAGCTAGGATGACAGGCGTGAGCCATCACACCCGGCCTCAACTCATTGTTAAGCCTCTATTTCGTACTCACCTTCTCCAAGAACTGTCCCCGGTCCCCCTCAGTGCCCGCAGTGGCCTGCGCTCCCCTTATCACAGTGTGGTTTGCGTCCCGCTGTGAGGGGCTGTCTATAATCCGTCTCCTCCGGCTCGGAAGGACAGACTGGTTAGAGCTGCAGCGCCCGGCCCCTATGTCTGACAGGGACTGAGTGTGCCCGTCTCCCCTCAGCTGTGCCAGCACTGCTTGTTGTGATTTTCTTTTCTTTTTCTTTTTTTCCATTTTATAGCCCTCACTCCATACTTCACTGTTACTTTACCATGAGTCAGTTTCATTGGTGACAACCAAGGCGGGATGTGTCTCTCTTTGTGTTTTTCCCACGGCCACGCGCGGTGGGGTCCTCGCCCGCCCCTCCACCGCCCGCTGGTCGCCGGGGCGCAGGTTCACGCGTTCGGGGAGATGCCGTGGGACCCGGAGCTCATGCAGGCGTGCTACCGAGAGGCCGAGCGGGCCAAGGGGCCGCTGGGGCAGCTGGTGGCGCCGTTTGGCTTCCTGGGGACGCAGAGCCTGGTGTTTGGGGTCCAGGACCTCGCACAGCAGGTGAGGGAGGCCAGGAGGCCAGGAGGAGGCCAGGCGGCCTCCAGCGAGCAGCTGCCAAGTGTGTCCTGGGGAGACCCAGATGACCGGGGCAGACCCCTGCCGGGCTCCCAGTCGCGAGTGGGCATGAGCCCATGACCGGGCAGCGGGCCGTGTGGCGGACAGGGCCGTGGGGGGCCTTCCAAGCCGGGACAGCAGGGGGGGAACGGGGGCCGGGCACGGCCGGGCGGAGGGATCGGCGCTGGGAGAACTTGCCTGCGTTTGGCGGAGATGAAGCAATTTCGAGAGATGGCACCTCGAGGGCAGGCGAGGAGGGTGGGCAGGTCGGGTAGGGCCTGGAGCGCAGGGCTAAGGGGCCGACCCCCGTCCTGAGGGCGCTGGGGAGCCACAGCAGGAGTGTGAGCAGGGGAGGGGCAGGATTGCATCCAAGGCTTAGGAAGCAGGGGCTGTGGGGCTGTCGGGCGGGAATGGAGGAGGCAGGGAAGAGCCCTGCAGCCCGATGGGGGGCTGTCAGTGGGGAGAAGCAAAGAGTGTCTTGAAGGCCAAGGAGGTGGGACCTGCAGATGGACATGGTGAGTGAGGGAGGTGGGGAGTGAGGTGACCCAGAGCCGCCCGGCACAGTTGCTCAGTGTGTGCACTGCACAAGAGCCCTCAGCAGAGCGGGCTGAACCCGGCTGCCTCTCTGTTCCTACCTTGGGCGCCCTGGCACCGCTTTCCCCGGGGGCTTTCTGCCAGTTTGGGCATAGGCCCCCCCCTCCAGGCGGGACGGCCCCCACCCAGGTCCTGAGATGAGGAGGAGGAGGAGGAGGTCGCTGGGAGGTCGCTGACCCGGTATTGAGAAGACGCGGGCCAGGCCGGCCCAGGAGGCAGGCGCGCGCGCTCACGGCCGCGCCTCCTGTGCCGCCGCAGCTCCTGGCGGACGCGGTGGCCACCTTCCTGCAGCTGGCCGACCAGGCTCTGCCCACGGGCCTGGCCTGCGACCAGGCTGCCCGGCAGCTGGAGAAAGTCGGGGGGCGCGTGCTGAAGGTCGGTGCGCGACGGCGGGCGGCCCGGGGGGCCGCCGAGGTCGCTGGTCGCGGTCGACAGGCCACCGCGTGTGTCGTGCAGAAGTTCGAGTCGGACAGCGGCTCGGGGCGGAGGGCGTTCGTGCGGGGCTGGGCGCTGAGCGTCTTCCTGCCCTTCGTGCTGCGCCGGCTGGAGGCGAGCCGCGGACAGGTGGCTGGGGGCGGGCGGCGGGGGCGGGAGACGGCGTGGCGGGACGGGGCGTTGCGTGGCGGCGGCGTGGCAGGGCTGGGGGCGGGGCTGGCCAGGCGCGCTGGTGGGCGTGGTGGGCGTGGTGTTTTTTTTTTGTTTCCGTGTGCCTGTAATGTTGGTTTGGTGTGGTCTTTCTGTGTGTGCCTTTTGGCCTAGTGTCTTGTGTCTGGGGTGTCTCGTTGTTTGTCCAGGGCAGACGTGTGTTGGTGTGTGTTCGTGTGCTGATTATGTTGTGTGTGTGGTGTCGTGTGTTGTTGTGTGCTCTCTCTAAATGGCGAGGCGGGGGCGTGGCTGTTTGGTGTTGGCGTTGGGTTGTTGGTTTTGTTTGGTTTTGTGTGTGCTGATGGCCTGGTTTGAGGCGGGGTATATCTATTGTTCAGTGTGTGAAAATTCCCCGCTGTCTCTCGCGTTCTCTGGAATAATGTTGTGTATCCTCTCTCTTATTGTTCTGCTCTCTCCGCTCTGCTCGTTAGTATTGACTCCCCCCTCCCCTGTGGCCTGGTGCTCCTGTCCTTTTTGTCCTCTCTCTCTCTCCACTTTTATACTGTTTTTTGCTCTCTTCATTGGAGATGCGGTCGTGTTGGGCGTGGGTCTCCACCGTCACCTTTGTACTGTCTAATATGGGCGTCAGGGAAGGAGGAGGCAGTATGTGTTGTCATGTTGTGTTTTGTCTGTTGTGTTTTCTTGGTTTGTTGTTTTTGTTATATTATGTTGTTTCTCTCTTCTGAGGAAGCAGGGAGGGGACAGGGAGCGCGAGGCCGTCCCTCCCAGGAAGGGCGGTCCGGGGACGTGGCCGTGCAAAGGCCCTGGAGGGCTGGCCGTGCCCGCCGTGTCGGCGAACAGTGGGGAGGGCGGATTTCTTCAGTCATGGCGTGGAGGGGTGATGAAGGGTGAGGGCCAAGTGGGTCACCGGGTGGAGACTGGGTTGCAGGGACTACGCAGGTCCTGCTGGGAGGAGTGACCGTGGGAGTTTCCCGGGTGGGACGCCTTCCTCTTGGTCCCTGTGAGATGTCATTTTATGTTGTCCCTTTAACCCCCCTTTCATCCTGTACAAGGACACCCAGGGAATACGGGCCAGCTGAGTCCATCTTTAAAGATACCGGAAAAGCCCCAAGGTGTCCCAGCTATGAGGCTCCAGGGGCTGGGGCCCAGGACCCAGGGTCATGGCCCCCAGCGGCCTTCTCCTCCGGCCTGGGCCCCTGACGCCGCTGTTGCTTCCAGGAGCTGCCCGAGATCGGAGACCGTCGGTGGTGACGTTCTGGCTGTGGGCGGCCAGGGCCCTGACCACCCAGGGCATCTACGGAGGACGTGTCATCCGGGGTGGTCTCTCTCGCTGCCGAGGATCGACCGAGGTGAGCCCGCCCGCACATCGCCCGACGGCGCGTTCCGCCGTGGACTGTGGGTGTAAAACGACGCGCCCGATTGGCTCAGCTCTCTGTGAGAAGCACCTTGCGCTGTTGACCCTTTCCCTTTGGGTCAGGAGCTGGCCCGGAGCTCACAGGCAGTGGGTGGAAGTTCCCCGCGAGGAGGGGCCACTGGAGCGGCAATTTGTGG